TCTTACTATTCTTTGCCTTACAAAAAAGATCAAATAAATTCAAGTTCTTTACAAGATAGCATCATTTTGATCTGCACAAAATTACATCATCAACAATCTAACTAATTAACCATAATTGTTAAGGCAATGAACAACTAGGATAAGGTTATTTACAACTCCAAATTCTTCATTATCGTTCAGTCATTTGTTAATTAACATGACAAAACTTGTTCATTTACTCACAGTTCATGTTCATTTCTTTAACCTGGCTTGTTCATCTCCTTAACCATGCTTGACCACAAATTGCTATTTGGCTAATGAATAACTCTAGTAACCTACTTAACAACTACTATTTATGCAATGAACAACAAGGCTTACCAAATTCAAACTTCCCTAATTTATGGATGAAATTATTTTTCCCAATATAAAATAGACATTTCTATGAAACCACTATCCAAATAAAACACAATTTAACTTACATTGATATGCATCTATCACTTTAACAAATCACAATAGTTTGCCTTCCGTAAAATGCTCAATCAAACCCTCTTGATGGAACACATTTATTACCCACTTTTATTTGTCAATTAGGACCCTTTTATTAATGATTTATCACCTTTAAGTGCACACATTACATTAGATTTGGAATTTTGCTTAAGTTTCTAGGTTCAGTGCACTAGGGGTATTTTGGTCCAAAAATTAAAAATTTGAGAAAATGTACAAGAAAAATTGAAAAAGTGAATTTTATGTCCAGTTTATGATTGGTGAAATTATATTTTTAAAATTCATTTTAGTTTGAGAGTAATTAAATAAAAAAGTTAATATTTTCTTAAGTGTCTTAGTTTAACCTGATTTTCAGTTTGCCTTTGCGTGAAAATTTTTATATAATTTTTTGTAGCCTAAAACTTTATAAATTTAATAAATTATCCCTTCTAATTATGAATCTAATTCTAGAAATTAATTAGATTTTATTATATCACAAGCTATTTAATTGAATTATATTATTTATGTGACATAGGTGGCATGTGACTTGTGCATCAATTGGGCAATTGAAGTCAACACTCCTTGAGGTCAATGGCCGAGCATTTACACATGATTTATTCTATTTTTAGGATATTAAATTAGCTTAAATGATGTGGATGGCACATGAGAAATTACACACATATTGGAATCATCTACAAACCAATAGGAGGTTGCCACCTTGCAAGTGTGACAAGGCTCCTATTTTCATTTTAATTTCTTTTCTTATTTTTTAATTAAGCCTTCAGTTGATAGGAAACAAGGGGGAGCAAGCCATTTACCTCTTAAAATCAGATCAAACACTCATCTCATTCATCTTCCACATTTTCTCCCTCTTGTTCTTGGTGTTCTTCATTTTCTCCTCCTTCTCTCTACAATACAGCACGTCCAGCCACCATTTCTCCCTCTTTATACCATCAAATCCACTCAATTCTTCTACCATTCTTCTCCTCTCTCAAGGCCGAATCAATCCTAAGCAACTAGAAGGAGATTTAAAGCTCAATCCATCAAGAAGCATGAAGCATGTGCCACAGCCTATTTGTGTTCATAGAGGAAGTAAAGTGCTCTTGAAATTTTCTAGCTAGAGTCTCCATAGAATTCCTAGGGGAGAGTTGATGGAAGAGGAGTTTTGAAGTCTTTACTTAGCTAAGCTCAAGTATTTCTTCATCTTGTTTCAATTCCATTAGAATACTATGACTATTATTGATTGTAGTTCAATTTGACTTTAGTTACATAGTTGTTTGTAATTTATAATCTTAAAACACGATTCTTGAGTTGAATTTCATGACCTATATGCTGCTGGAATTTCATCCACTCTATGAATTTGCATGATAATGTGTGATTTTAATGGATGAATGTCTTGTATTAGCCTAGCATGTAATTGTGTGGTGAATACTTGATGAGTTACTTGAGTTTTCATAGTTTTGAACTTAGGTACAGCTTTGGGCAGTGGCATTTGGGAATGAATTTTAGCAAAAACTTAGTTAATTTTAGAGCTAAGCTAGTAAGGTTACCTAGGGAGCTTGTAATAGCACTTAGGAAATTGAATTAGTAATGCTAGAATACTTGAGATAGTTGTCTTAAGTAAATACATTTTTTAGTCAAGGAAGAGGAGTTGAGTGAGTTGTCATAATTAATTAAAGGCTAGGAATCTTCCATTAACAATACCCTAGGGTTTCTACTTAAATTGAGAAGCCACTTCTTTCAAAATTAGGATTAGTTCTAGCTTAATTCACTAGATAGTTAGGTTAGTAATTAGTTAATCAACTTCAAACTTTAGGTGATTTATTTTACTAGATAACTTTTAAATTAGACTTAAAATCATTCTTTGAGAGATGACCTAGGGTTGGCCCTATATTGCATTAGAGTTAGTTTTAGTTTAATTTGAAGGCAAACAACAATCCCTATCACCTCTTCCTCATCAAATCTCAACAAACAAAAACCTCAACCAAAATAACCTCGTGCAACCTATTGATCGGTCTGATACAGATTCTTGGATAACAAGTTCAGTGATGGACCTTTGCTAATAAACCATATCAACTACCTACTGCCTCTCCTCTACGTGCTTCAAAATTTTTTCACAATAGTCTTAAGGGAAACTTTATCATTTCACTTTCAAAATTAATTTCAAATCACACCCCAGACGTGTAGTGAAACATCAAAAGCTTTGGGGCCTTCTTTTTCATTAACTTCAGCTAAGGGTCCCTCAGTGAAATTTTCCCTAAATATATATATATATATATATATCTTTATTATGACAATATATTTTATGAAAACATAAATACTTCATAATTTAAATAATAATAATAATATTATTATTATTTATTATTTACAAATCATTATCTATATGCAATTCATCCAGTTGTTCAAATTTTATAAAACAATTTTCTCCCATTTTTTATATGTCTTTCTCAAAATTTTGACAAACCTTTAGTCTTTTTCTCAAATTTGATAACTTGAAAAAAAAATTTCTTTATTATATTCTAAAAGTCCAAAAGTTTTATATAATTTTAAAAGATTACTCTATTAGGTCCTATTTATAAGGGATAGAGAATTTTTATCCTAGTTATATTACATCTTATTGGTGTTTTATAATAAATTTCTTATTTACGCCATTAAATTTTAATGAGAGAAAATAGTTATTAAAGTATATCCATATTTAATAGGAGCACAATTATAAACTTATTAAATCTTAAGAAAAATAATTAATTTGTTATGAATGATTTATTCTACCATTCAAAAATATAAGATATTTTTTAGGTTGGATATTAAAAAAAATATAAGACATTTTTAATTGTTCTATAACATACAATTAATGATTTTTTTAAAATATTCTTAATAAATAAACCACTCAACCTTTCATCACACTCTGTTTGGTTCAACGGGAATGAAGGGATTTTAATATTTAATATTATCTTGTTTGATTTAGAACGTGAGAGAGGAAAAATATTGATAAAATATACATGAGAAGTTTTTAAAAAATACTGATAAAACATAATATTAGCTAAATTATAATTACAATATAAAACTATAATATCCTCTTTCCATCCAAAAATATATAACTGTAATCATAATTATATAGTTAATATATATAATTAACTATAAGATAAAACCGTATTTATCACATAACAATGCCACATAGTTTTGGACGATGCCACATAGTTTTGGATAAACGTTCAAAACGAGTGAATTTCCTTTTTCTTTTTTTTTTTTTCAACTTGCTAGCTAAACAGGTCAATTTGCAAGTAAAATGGAGAATTTCAAGGAACACGGTCAATTTGCAATTTATATAAATGACAACGTTACTCAAAATGACAGCATATAAAGAACCTGGTAAAATATTTTTAAAGACAGGTGAGACGTCAAGAGAAAGGAAACGTGAAGACAGGTAATAATTAAATAAGAGTAAGTCAAACACTCTATCAAATAAGGTAAAAATATAAAAAGATGACGTTAATTTAAAAATACTCCACTAGACCAAAATATAAGCATTAATAATTAATTCAAGGTTATAAAAAAATATTAATTGAAACCTTAATTTTTTTTTAAATATTTACATCTTTCAATTTTACTTTTATTGAACACCCTATATAAGTACTTCAATAATGATAATTAAACTTCCAATACATCATTTTTTTTAAAAGAATAATTACCTAATGTTTTATATTTTGACCCAAGCATGACTTCTAGAAAATGTAGTTGGGAAGAGTGAAAGTTAAAGGATGCAATTAATTAATTTTATTGAGAGATGTAATTTACTCTTTTTGTTCTATTTATAAGGCAAAGAGAGAATATTTACTTTGGTTCTATTTATAAGGCATTTTAATGATTATTATGTATATCTTTACTCTTTCGCCCCTATTCAATGCTTGAGAGATCATTAAATGTTAGATTATTTTATTTTTAAAGTAGATATATTTAATAAGAGTAAAGTTGAAAACATATTAAATTTTAAGATAGAGTTAATAAGGTTTAAAGTTTTTATTAATTATAGTGAAAATATTAAAAATAACTTATGAATAGGAGTCGAGCGAGTAGTTAAAATATCATATATTCTTAAACGGAAGGGTACAAATTAAGACCTGGCGGAGTAATCGCACGCCTATTTGCGATGATAGAGATTACAAAAGTTGCAGGGCGCAAAAAGGACTGTAATTGGACAGTTGATCGTCGATGCAGGAAAAACAACATTTGCAAAGTCCAAAAACCAACATGGCTCGTGCTTCCATTAAATTCTCTCTTCTTACCAACTAACCCTCTGATCTCTAAATTAAATTTCAAGCATTCACTTTCTGCACATCTTTGGAAATAGAAGAGAGTTCATTAGCTTACTTACTTAACTCCATCACCATCCATCATTCACTTCAAGCTTTTATTACTCTCAACTGTCCACCATCTCAATATTCTTCCATAAGAGAGTTCTCTTCGCCATGCAACGCACAACACAACTAAGTTTTCTACATTTTTGAGCGCCAGGGGGAGAGGGGGGGAGGGAGAGAGAGATGACGAAATGTACTGTTCTGATAGTTTTGTTTGTACTGGTTCTGGTGCATGCAAATAGTGCGCGTGAAGTACCTGGTAATTATGGCAATGAAGATGAAGAAACTGCAATGCATGAGCGTGATTCAACTGTGGGGAGTGAAACTACTGGCGGCGTTGGTGACGAGAAGAACATCGTTTATGGTGGTGGGGTTGGTGGGTTTGCTGGCATGGGTGGCTATGTTGGCACCGGTGGAGCTTGGAATTGGCGGTGTTGCAGGAATGGGGGCTTTAAAGGCGTAGGTGGCAGCCTCGGTGGCCTTGGTGGCGGCGGCATTGGTGGCTTAGGAGGAGTTGGCCGTCTCGGCGGCATAGGTGGTGTCGGAGGTGGTGGTGCTAGCGGCACTGGTGGGCTTGGTGGTGCAGGTGGCGGCATAGGAGGGCTTGGTGGTGCTGGAGGTGGCATCGGTGGTGTTGGTGGCACCGGAGGCGGCATTGGAGGTGTTGGTGGTGCCGGCGGCCTTAGTGGTGGAAGTGGCGCCCGCGTTCGCCCTTTTCATGATCCTTAATTAACTTGCTTTCATGTTGTGTAGCCAGCAAGCTGTTTGCTCGCTGATTGGTTTTGTTAATATTTCTTTTAATTTTAAGTTGAGTTGTTGGTTATTTGTCTGGTCTTAGATTTTATGTTTAGGATTTTTAGTTGTTGCAAGAGGTTGGTTAGGTTTGATGGGATGAAAAAACTAGGTAAAACAAATTACTCATGGTTAGATATATATGCTTTGAATAAAGCATATTTATCTATTCCTGATTATTTTAATTTACCTATTTTCAAATCCCCTATATATGATGTGAATCAACGGGCAAGTAGTAGAGATATGATATTATTGTAGTAAGTTGCAATCTGTCATTGTTAGCGATGCTGCAAAACTCGACGATCCAAAGTAATTATTCCCTCCGCATTTTTTTTATTAGAGAAAATATTAGTTTTCATTTGTACTTTTATATAAGCAAAATCACATAACTCAATAAATATTTATTACAAATTTTTTAAATTACCCCTTATAATTTATATAAGTGATAAATAATTAATACATATTTATGTTGATTAACACAGTATATTTTAATCTAATTTTTTTATTTTCAAGTAAAATTATTATGGTTAATTGATTTTCTTAAACTATGTAATGCAATTTTTTCTTCTTTACAAACAAAGGGAGTGTCTCAAACTCAATGATTCATCACCAGAATATTATACTCCACCACCATATAATTCCTTAAACAACGGCACACACAACAACCATAAATAAACAAATGGGCTAAAGGGTAAAAATATTAAAAAAAAAAAAAGTTTCACCAGAAGCATTTAGCATTCTTAAGTTGACAAAGATGCAAGAGTACAACTAAACTCTTTTTTAGTGAGTCGTACAAGCCTTGCCTGAAAAAGTCTGATATGCTCAAATTACCAACTCTAGTAAAGGTTATCCTCTTTCATAAAGTCAATGAATACTCATGTATCATTTTTTCACTTAAAGATACGAAAGCTCATGGTGAAAAAGTTTTTAAATATTTTTGCAATTTATATTTGTTTTCTTTGTTTTTTTTTTAACATTTACTGCTAATGAACGCTCGTTAAATTTAACAATTTGTGGAAGGTTGCCTTCATTAAAAAAAGTTCATAATTACTTATGCACTTTTATTAGCTTAAGGATATTAAATGCTTTTGGCAAAAAAATTCTTGGGTATTTTTGCCTTTAACCCCTAAACAAAATTTGTAGTTTTCTTGATAATGATTCATGATTAATCAGTATAGCTCCTTAATTATATGAATTGCAGCTGCCAGTTGCGTTTATATATAGATATTTAATTAGGTAGTTATTTACTGATACACACACACACACACACACATTATACATGCATTGATAGTACTTTAATTTTTTAGGTATTTTTCAATGTTTAGCTTTTAATTTTTTATGCCATTAATTATTTAACTTTTAAGATACAGTAAAAAAATTTCTAATTTTTAATACAGACAGCAACAGAGATGTGGCTATGGATAATTTTGAGTTTAGAAATAATAAAGCAGAGTTGAGATAAGGAATATTTTGAAAATGAAATTGAGTTGGGTACAAATAGGCCTAGAAAAAACATGTACGAAAGGAAACAAGGCATGAATGTTCCAAAGTTGTTCTAGTTTAATTTAGTTATCCCAGAGGATGCTCATGATATCTTATATATAATTGTGCAAATTACTGATAACTAGTCAGTATAATGCGATTTCACTTAAAAGAAAAAAAGGGATAATGGAACTTTTAGTTTGTCAAAATTGTCTCAGTTATTAATTAATTTGATCTTTTATGTTTGATTTTTTATTAATTTGGTATAGAGATTCTTTTTCTTTTCTATTTTATATCTACACAATAATTCTTTACTATTGCCTATTACAATATGATAGGCAATATTTTAGAACTACTGCAATGGGTTGACATACAAACTATTGCTTATTCCTAAGAAATAGGCAACATTTTTAAATGTGCGGCTGTACAGTGTGAAAGTTGTTGCCTTTTATAGTAGGTAACATTGGAATAGGTACAAGTTCAAAAATGTTGCCTTTAATTTTTGGTAACAGTTTTCATTCTTTTGGCAATAGTTTTCAATTGTTGTTACAAGACAAAAATGTTGTAGTGTATGTATATATGAATATATGTAAGCTAAATAAGAACAAATTAGCCCTTACATCAATTTAATTAAGTTTTATCAATATAGTCCATTGTGCTACGTTATCCGTGTAAGCAAAATTTAACAAACACTAAGGTTATCATCAATATTTCACCATCCTTGTTAGAAAATATTGATAGTGTTATATATTCAATGTTTTTAAACAATAAGGGCTAAATTGGTAATTGAGGAAAACTTAAAAAACTAAATTGATACAAATTAAATGTGTGGGACCAAATGAATAACTGAGATAAATTTAATGGACTAAAAGTTTCATTATATCAAAAGGAATTCGTATGGGAATTGTTTGTCACAAGTTGATCATTGTGTATAAACAACAAAGTATCGGGCATGCCAAAGACATAGAGTCACAGAGATATCAAAAGAGTCCTCAAGCTTCCTTATTTCAATTCACCCGGATGAGAAGATGCAAAGAATTAAAGTAAAGGTGATTGAATTAATAAGAAAGGAGTACATAGAGTTCACGATTGTGAGAACTTAAAAAAAAAAAGTAAGCCTAATTGTATAATAAGTAACGAGTCTATTTTTGTGTAGATTGTTTGTCCTTGATTTCATTAGTTGAGCCCTTTTTATAATTTTGTTAGTCTATTTTCATGTAGATTGAATTAATAAAAAAAAATTGCATTCACGAGTTGCTTGTATAATCAAAAGCTACACTTGCATTTACCAAAAACCTTGCAGTACTATATATGTACCAAAATATAAACATGATGGCCAATTTTCTCAACCCGGATTTAGGTTCCTGCAAGTTCTTTGCGTGTGACTACCCTCCTCACACCTTGAGCAATGGTAAACTTTCTTATTCTAGAATTGGGATTCTATCCTCTTACTATGTGGCCACCCTGGAGGTTGGCTTGTCAATGGTAGCAGTAGGAAGTTCAAGAATGCCGAATCAATCAGACCACTTGTATCAAGCTTAGGGATGTCATGTGTCTCTACTGGAAGTATGGAAATGCTGTACATTTTGTCTTGGGCGACAACTTGGTAACATTCCTTAACAAATGAATCTGCATTACCATGGTTTACATGTATTATTACACATGCATAGGCACATAGAAATCCTGACATTTGCCAAGCAAGGCAAGACCATTGACACAATGAAAGGTTAACACAAGCATCACCTTTTAAAGTTCTAACTCTATCAGTGCTAATTCCATAATGTTGTGCATCTAAAGTTTCCCCCCTTGACACATTCTGCATTAAATTCGACTCAATATTTGGTCCAACTCCATTTGTCCATTTGGATATAGCCAAATTACTTTTATACATTTTTGAAGCCAATTTTTCTTTATGCTCATATATCAACATTAGGATATTGTGCTTTTGTTCCTTAACAAGCCACTCATTGAAAGACTCCGCAATGTTAGTTGTTTTATTATCCCACCTCTTGTAAGGGAACTTGCTTATATCATAAAGATTAATATCTAAATTACTTTCTACCCAACGTCCTAACTCTAGACAAAAACTCATTAAATTACCCATTGCTGCATTAAAGTCATAATGAAGTCTAGCGTAGGCTATAACATCCAATAGTTGAAGTGCATCTTCCTTTGTCTCTACACTCTTCCTTTTACCCCTTATGACTTTTAAACATTCAACCCTATAGTTCTCTTTCACATGGCGGTAGTAAAAAGCATGTCTCTTACAATCAAATATGGTCCATATAGCCCCAACTATTGCATTATGTCTATCAGACATTATTGTTATTTCCTTACATCTTGTTATCTCTTTCACATTATATAGAAACCATGCTCAATTATCATAAGTCTCTCCACTAACCATAGCATAGGCCAATAGGAATAATCCATTGTCAGCATCATAAGTGCTTACACTAAACATTGTCCTTTTGTATGGACCAAATATATGACACCCATCTATATACAATATGGCCCAACCAACTTCTATAAATGCTTTCATACAAGGCCTATAGGCAATTAACACTTGTTGAAATCTATTATTTGGTCCTGCAACCCATTTAGCCACCGTTTTTCGATCTCTTTCCTTAAGTCTGCTACAAATCCAAGAGATTAACCTGTAAGACTCTTCCAACAAACCATGTAAATTGGCCAATGCCTTCTCTTTACCTTTATATACTTGAAGGTAGGAAAGGCTCACACCATATTCTCTATACATGTCTCCTCTAATTTCATTTGTAGACTTGTTGATACTTGACCTTATTCATCTAGTAAAATAGATTATGTTAGAGAAGCTCTAGTCTTATGTGAGACTATGAGGTTGCCTTGAGCATAATGCACATGTTGATTAATAAATGTTCTTATATGTAAGAACGTATTGTCTTCCCCTACTGGTTTATATGTAGAAATTTTCCATGGCAATTGTTAGCCACACACTCCACAATGATTTCTTATAGTCATTCTTCAAGAAGTTTACATGAACTTGTAGGCGAGGCTATATTTGTGCAATGCTTGTTTAAATGCAATAGCGTCAGGAAATATCTAACGTACACCAATAAATAAATCCCTTCACTTTGCAGCATTCATCTCTGTCATGGGAGTTGGAATATTCTGCACAACTAAACTTTATTCAGCATCAGCTACTACCACTATTTGAGTTGGAATAATCAATTAGTGATGACTGTCTAATGTCATTTTCCCTCCTACCTATATAAACGTGACTAGTGTTTGTTAGGATAGGTTGGCACCCAAGAGGGGGTGAATTGGGTGACATTCAAAAACTTTTGAAAACTTGAAAAGAGTGAAGAATCGAAGTGTGAGGGAAGAAGATGAGACACATAAGATTTTTACTAGTTCAACCTCAACCTTAGCCTACGTCTAGTTCTTATGATCACACTTGAGATTTTTAACTAAGTTCA